CCCCCCCCCGCCCCGAACCCCACGGCTGGGCATGGGATTAATGCCTGTAATGGGACTAATGTGTGTAATCCCAGCACACTGGGAGACTGAGGCAGAATGATTACAAGTTCAAGCTCAGCCTGGGCAAATTAGTAAAGCCCTGTCTCAGAAAAGGTCTAGGGAGGGCCGGGCATGGTCGCACATGCCTGTAATCCCAGCACTGGGTAGGCTGAGGCAGGAGGATCGCTGTGAGGTATATTTTTGTTGTTTTTTTTTGTTTGTTTGTTTTTTGGTTTTTCTCCAGTACCAGGAACTAAACTCACGACCTTGCGCTTTCCAGGCAGGCACTTTGCTGCTGAACTAAATCCCCAGCCCCCTCGCTGTGAGTTTGAGGCCAGCCTGGGTTACAAAGTGAGCTCAAGGCCAGTCTGAATTGCATAGCGAGACCCTGTCTCAAAAAGACAAAAAAAAAGAGAAAAGGTCGGGATGTGGCTCAGTATGAAAACCGTGGGGTTCAATCCCCACTACTAACAAAAAAATAGTAATAATCATCCGGACTCTAGCCCTGTCAGCTGTGCTTGTGGGGCTGAGTAACTCACTTTAGTCTGACACAGCAGATCACATTACCGTGCCTCCTGTGTAGCGCTGCAGCGAGGATAAAATCAGGTGGAAGACGCAGGTAGACATCTTACCTCAGTGCCTGCCACTCAGTGGGCGCTGATGTCATGAACAGAAAGAGCTAGGGTTCAAACAATGTAACAGTGCTCCAGTGGGTTAAATGGCTTTTCTTTCCCTCTGTGGGTGCGAAATAAAAGAAACAAAGCCTGAGGGCTTGAACAGTATCCTGAACAGGCTTTGGGTAGCTTTTTTTAAATTTTATTTTTATGGGTAGCTTCCGATGAATGTATAAGGTAGGGGTTGGCAGAAACCAGGACAGTCAGTGCAGGGGGCTTTAAACTTTGTGCGGTAGTTACATGCTGTGGTTTGCTCTAAGCCAGACTGGATAGAAATCTGTTGGAATAGGTGTGGCTGTAGGTATTTGATAGTAGCAACAGGTATTACCTATCAGTTTGATACAAGAGAAACATTTCCCCAGCCAACTAGTTAGTATATTCAGATGGCTGTAAAGGAATTTACCCAATATATAGCCCTCAAGAAGCAAGAACTGAAAGACGGTAGCTCAAAGAATTGATGTAGATCTCTTCCTAAGCAGTGGATTCTACCTTCAAGCACGCATGGGATAGGTTTGGTAAGCCACTGAGTTTGGGGGTTTTTTTGTTTTTTGGTACTGGGGAATGAACCCAGAGCCTTTACACTGAGCTACATCCCCAGCCCTTTTTAACATTTTAAAATGAAACAGGGTCTTGTTAAGTTGCTCAGACTGGCCTTGAACTGGTGACCCTCCTGCCTCAGCCTTCCAGAGAGCTGGGAGTACAGAATGCTAAGCTACTGAGTTTTCAAGGTAAAAGCAAAAATTTCCTGTTACCTGAACATAGGTGTGTGGCAGTTCTGTTATGGAGTATCTATGCGTGGCCCTGAGTTGGTCTACATGTGATTTGCGGAGTTAATGATTAGCCCAGCAGTTGTCTGAGCGACTTATTTCCACGAGGCTGCAAGTATTTCATCTGCAGAAGAGGACAGAAGGCACCATGGCCCTTTCGCGCCTTTGGGCTGGGCTGGTAGTTCTGAATCTAGTGACAGCTGCTAGGAGCCAGAAGACAGCGCCTTTAAGTGGCTCTGGGGAACAGCCGCTCTTCCGCGAGGCTGATCGCCACGACTTCGCCATCATGATCCTCCCAGGGGGCACAGAGTGCTTTTGGCAGTTTGCCCACCAGGATGGATACTTCTACTTCAGCTATGAGGTACATGGGTTCATGCTGGGGCATTTTTTTCCTTTCATAAAGTTACTCAGGTTTAGACAAAAGCAAGTTCTGATTGTCTATTACACTGTGATTCCCACCTCTGAATGAAGTGTGGACCGACAGCTTGAAAGAAACTCGGTCACCAACGGAATCTCAAACATATGGCGTGGGCTCGCACACTGCGGCCTGCAGGTGCGCGCTCACAGCTGTGGGACAGCTGGTGCCTCTCCCTGGGGTGCCGGCACTTCCTTAAGTTTGGGGGTTAGAGAAAGGACACCCTCTTAAAATATTTTTTAAAAATATAGACAGTACGGAATTCATACGAAAAAGTCACAACTTTGAAGACAGACACAGATTGTAAGAAAACTGCTTTAGTGGATGGTGGGGGAGCGACATCTGCTTTCCTGTCTTCCAGGGAACCCGGCACACTGGGGGCGCACCTAGGAAGATAAAAGTGTTTAAGCTCTCTGTCCCTAGGTGAGGGAACGTCATCCGTTCTGTGGATGACACGGTTTGAGGGTGGTGACTCAAAGGCAGAGGCTGTTCCTTTTCTTAGTTTATCTTAGAAACCTGCTAGCTTAAACAAAAAACAAAATAAAACAAAACAAAACAAAAAAGGGGCTGGGGATTTAGCTCAGTGGCACAGCGCCTGCCTGGCAAGCACAAGGTTGTGAGTTTGATTCCCGGTACCGGAAAAAAATAAAAATAAACAAAACAAATAGAAATCTGCTAGCTTTCCAATTTTTGTTTACATAGTGATAGACTGTGTTGGTCCTACTCCATTCCATTGCAACTTAAAATTTATTGTAACCTATCAGAGCTTTTTCTTATCTCTGAATTTTATCAGAGCAGTAGCTACTAGTCAGCTCACCGTAGCTTGGGCTTATCAAGATCCAGCTTGGAGACATGTCCACGGAGTGCCTGTTATAGGCCGGGCCTGCCAAGTAAGCGGATACCCAGATCGGAGAGAGCTCAAAACCCAAGCAGGTTCAGCCAAGATCTTTACGGGCAGAAGTGTGCAGCCCAGCTGGTCCACACCAGCTGTGTGGTCCGACATGTTTTCCTCCTCAACGGAGCTTTGGCGTTCTGGGTGATTTTTGAGGCCTGCTGTACTCGCATTGCAGAACCCTGAGCGCTGATGTGGCTTACCCACAATGCCGTGAGTGGGCAACATTAAAGGCCTCCTCAATGCCGAAGTCCTTGGAAGAGGGCGGACGGGGGTACCAACCCAGACAGACCGCTGCTGAGTGTCGTGGGGTGTCAGTCTTAGAAGCTGGTGTCACAGAGCCTTCTGCCCTCCTGTGTCTTGGCAGGTGCAGCGGGTACTGGGGATGTCACGCGACTGGCACGTTGCTGCCACAGCACACACCCCGCGGGGTTTCCTCATAGAAACCTCCCAGGACGTTCGGGGCCAGATTAACTTCTCCACCCGAGAATCAGGTCTGTTTTCATCCCTATGACTAACGTCATAGTCAGGTTCTGCGAAATGGGGGAAATAGTGAAGGACTGTACATAGAGATGGTGACGCGGAAGAAAATATCAGTACCAAACCCAGTGTTCCTGGAGAGCGCTAAAGACATCAAGCTGCAGTCCGATAGCAGCAGTTGGAGGACAGAGAGCATCAGAAGTTCGAGGGCAGCGCAGGCAATTTAGGAGCTCCTGTCTTCAAATAATGTAAAGGGTTGTGAGGGCTGGGGATACAGCTCAGAGGCACAGTGCCTGCCTGGCAAGTGCAAGGTTGTGAGTTCGATTCCTGGTGCCAAAAAAATAAAATAAAAAAGAGCTAGAGCTCGGCGTGGTAGTGTACATCCGTAATCCCAGCACTTGGAAGGCTGAGGCATGAGGATTCTCATGAGTTTTTGGCCAACCTGGGCTACACGGTGAGTTCAAGGCCCGCCTAAACTGCATGGCAAGACCCTGCCTCAAAAAAGCAAAAAATAAAAATAAAGAAAAAGTGCTGTGGATGTAGCTCAGCAGTCCCTGGTCAATCGCACACTGTCCCCATCGCTAATGATGTACAAGGAACAGGCAAATTCTATCTTATCTTCCACTCAAATCTGTTGAGTAGGAGAGCCTTAACAAGAGACACGGGAATTACAGATTGGAATGGCGGGGGTGGGGGACAGGTTTCCCACCCAGCACAGAACTAAAGATACTGATATTAGTAAATTTATTTTATTTCAAGGAGAATTAAAACAAAAGAATAATAGCAAAATGTCAACATAAACAAAAAAGCAAAGCAAAAACAATAAGAATTATAGTCTTGGAACAAAATGATAGGAATTAACAGTGGTTGTTATATTACATATTTTTGTCTTCATCAAAGTTGGTCAGATTACCAGATGTAAGAATAGTTTTTTTGTTGTTTGTTTTTTTTTTGGTAACAAGGTCTTGCTGTATAGTTCAGGCTGGCCTTCAACTAGCAGCAATCCTCCCGCCTCAGCCTCCCAAGTGTTGGGATTATAGGCGTGAGCCACTACACCTGGCTTTATTAGTAATATTTATTACAATAAGTTTCAGGTAAGATCAGTGCCCTCCATGTTAAAAATGGATCTTTGCACTTTCTAAGTGAAAAAAAGGAGCCATAGTAGCAATTTGAAAGCTGGGAGCCAGATGTGGTACACACCTATAATTCCAGCACTCTGGAGGCTGAGGCAGGAGGATTGTGAGTTCAAGGCTATAGTTCAAGTTCATAGTAAGACTCTGTCTCAACCCCCTCACACACACACACAAAAAAAAAAGCTGGGGAAAAGACATCTGCAAGAAAACCTTAAAATAGGGTGGGAGAGCAGGGTGTGGTTGCGCACACCTCTAATCCCAGCACTTGGGAGGCTGAGGCAGAAGGACTGCCACTTCAAGGCCAGCCTGGGCTACATAGTGAGTTCAAGGCCAGCCTGAACTGCATGGTGAGACCCTGTCTCAAAAAAAGGGGCTGGGAATGAGAAACCAAAGATTCACTAATGATCTAAGAATTCCTACAGGTTACTATCAGCTTTGTCTAAAAAATCAGCAAAATCACTTCAGTTCTATGCACGTCTACCTCAACTTTGGAGTCTTCTATGAGGGGCCTGAGACAGACCACAAACAGAAGGGAAGAAAACAGCTGAATGACACCCTCGACGCAATTGAGGTAATGAGTTGTGGAAGACACACACGATGGGAACTAATTTTAAATTTGGATAACAAAAAAAAATTTGGTGGAGTGGAAGGGGAAGAAAAAGAATTGGAACTGGTAGATACAGGTACCAATCCCCTACAGTACATGCAAGCACTATGTACTGCAAATGTATTATCCTAATAAAAGTTTTCTACAAAGATTAAAAATTATGGGAACAATATCCTTTGAGGGCTCATAGAGGTAAAAATCCAAACAAGCAAGGGAATTTGAATCCTTTCATAAATTTGTTTTTTGAGACAGGGTCTCACTATGTAGTTCAGGCTGGCCTTCAACGCACTGCAGTCCTCTTGCCTCAGCCTCCAGGGTGCTGGGATTACAGCTATGCACCGCCACACTGACATTCTTTCATAAATTCTTTTTTTTTTGTACAGGAATTGAACTCAGGACCTTGCGTTTGCCAGGCAGGTGCTGTGCTGTTGAGCTATATCACCAGCCCTCTTTTATAAATTTTTATGACTTGAATTTCTCCTGTTTTATACCATGACCTGGAAAATTATGGCTCACAGGCCAAATCTGCCCTACTGTGTTTTTTGTTTCGTTTTTGAGATAGAATTCATACACCACACGATTTACTAAAAAGTGTTTATTTACATGGTTAAACAGACATTTCCACCATCTAATCCAGAATAATTTTATCACCCCCAAAAGAAACCTTGTTCCCACTAGGAATTCTCCATTCCCTCATGACCCTCCAGCCTTGGCAATAACTATTCCACTTTGTTTCTTTTTTTTTTTTTTTAAATAAAAGGAGGAAAACATTAACAGACAGACAACCTTTTACAAAATAGCAGACCAGTACAGACAATACAGAGTTACAAACAAAGTGGTAAGAAATTAACAATGCTTGTTGTATTACATATTGATATCTTCACAGTGGTTTCAAAAATATGGAGAGCTTCACGAATTTGCGTTTCATCCCTGTGCAGGGGCCATGCTAACCTTCTCCGTATCGTTCCAATTTTAGTATATGTGCTGCCGAAGCGAGCACCCCATTTTGTTTCTATAGGTTGACCTATTCATTTTTTCTATATATTTCATACAGATTAAATCATACGTGTGCCCTTTTGTAATTGATATTTTCCACTTAAGTGTTTTGTTTTGTTTAGTTTTTCTTCTGGTACCAGGAATTGAACTCCCGACCTTGTGCTTGCCAGGCAGGCGCTGTGCCGCTGAGCTAAATCCCCAGCCCCTCCACTGAAGTTTTTAAGATTTATCCAAGTACCCTGTATCAGTACTTTGTTCTTTTTATGGCTGAATGATATCCTACTATATGCACATACATTGTATTTATCAACCCATCAGCTGATGGACATAGGGTTGTTTCCTCCTTTTGGTTATCACAAGGCTGCTGTGAATAATTGAATACACGCTCGTGTTGATTTTTTTTGTCTTTTTGAGACAGGGTCTCGCTATGCAGTTCAGGCTGGGCCTTGAGCTCACTTTGTAGCCCAGGCTGGTCTTAAACTCGCAATGATCCTTCTGCCTCAGCCTCCCGAGTGCTGGGATTACAGGCATGAGCCACCACGCCCAGCAGTGTTTTCATTTCTGTATTCCTAAAAGTGGAATCACTGGGTCCTACCTTTGTGAAGAGCTGCCAGACTTCCCACAGGCTAAACCTTTCACACTCTCGTCAGCAGTGTGAGGCTTCAAACCACCCCACACTGTGACCCTGCTTGCTGACCACAGGCATACTGGTGGGTACGAAGTGGCATTCTGCGGTACGAGTTACACTTCCCCAACAATAGTAACCGTCTTTTCACATACATATTGACATTGGTATATCTTTACTTTGGGGAAATGCCTGTCAAACCCTTTGCCCATTTCCAAGTTGGGTTTTTGGGCTGGGGATCTGGCATTTGGCTCAGTGGTATAGAACTTGCTCTGGGTTTGATCCTCAGACCGTCCCCGCCAAATCAGAGTGGTTTTATTGATACGTTCTGGGTAAGTCCCTTATCAGATGCAGGATTTGCACTGCAGACAGAAGGCATCGTTTCAAAGGTAATGAAGGGCCGAATTCCTGTCTAAAACTACGATCTTCTGGAAGAGCTCTCTAGTTTGAACACTAGTTTTTCATTATTAAAAATAACCTTGACTTGTTGGCATTGTGACATCTGGCTGCAATCCCGGCTACCAGGGAGGCTGCGGCAGGAGGAGCCAAGTTCAAGGCCAGCCGGAGTAACTTAATGAGACCCTTCTCACAACAAAAAATTGAAAAAGGGCTGGGGGTATAGTTCATTTGGTGAATCTATGTGAGGCCCCGGGCTCCATCCCCATTACCGAGAAAATACGACTTTCTGGGCTAGCAGCGTATCTCAGTAGCAGGTCACTTGCTTCGCATTTGTAAAGCCGAGGTTATTTCAGCCACGCAAGGGACTGAATCTAGGGCCTTGCACACGCTAGGCAAGTACTCTACCACTGAGCTACATCACCAGCCAAAATACTAACCTTCAAAAGCTGTGATCGTGTTAAAGGTAGGTTGGTGCTGCTGCGCGCTCGGAGGACAGATGCAGGAGGGACGCCTTTATTTTCTCTCCCGCAGGAGAGTGCACAAAGGGTGCAGAGCAACGTCTTTCACATGTGGCGATTCTACAACTTTGCGCGGATGAGGAAGATGACGGACTTTTTCCTTCTTCAGTCAAACTATAACTATGTGAACTGGTGGTCGATAGCCCAGAGCCTGGTTATTGTTCTGTCTGGGATCTTGCAGCTGTATTTTGTGAAACGTCTCTTCAATGTTCCAACAACAACTGACACAAAAAAGCCAAGATGCTAAGCGGACTAGAGACTTGGGCTTTTCTGCTGGGGTGGTGCTTTGCCAAAGCTTTCGTTAGCTCAGCTTTGCAAGATTAGAAAAAATTAATATTTGAGTCCACTGTGCTTATCAATAGTGGTAAAACAGCAGTAAGTCATAAAAATGTAAACATTGAGATTGGCTATATCTGAGGTATGTATCAACACCTTCCTGGTGGCTTGATCCACCGGGGGAACAGAGTGGCAGAGACATACAAATTACCGCCCCGTGGTGACTGTTAAACATGTAAGATTAAAATACTGTTTATCAGACAGCAGCCCCTGAGCTTCACTGATTCCACTGACCGGGGAACAGAAGCGCTGGGAGCGAAAACTGAAAAAAGGTGGGACAGAAGCAGGTTTGCTTGCAGAGAATAACAGGAATTAATAGAATGCCTTTTTGTAGTTTAATGTATTTTATTTTTAAAGATGTAAACATTTGAAAAAAAAAAAGACGTAAACATTTGAATTAAAAATGATATACAGTATACTGATTTAAGGAATTGTTTTACAACACAGGTGGTCTAAGAAATTTTTGGCTGTGAGATATCTTTTAAAAATGTTTTATTATGTGATCGTTATGTATATCTAAACCGTACCAATAAAATGTAAGTTTAAAATGTTTTATTCTAAAAATAATTTTGGGAAGAATGAAGGAGCTGAATTATAATTTCATAGTCTCTAGTGCTTTTGGTTCAGTCTAGTCATGTAAAGAGGGGTTCCTAAGAGAAACGTTTTATGAAATCAAAGTGATGAAAAGAACATTTCAGCCTGGGCGCATCTCATCCATGAGAAAGATCATTAAAAAATCAGGTAAGAAACAATAAAATCATGTTACGTTAGGGTCCTATGCGTAGTAGTAGACATATGTAATATAAAAATAACTAACATTTATTCAGCACCTCTCATTTGCCAGGCATTGTAGTAGATGCTTAACAATCATGATTTCTGATCCTAAAAACCATTCCTAGGCTGATGGTTTAAGGTTTTTTTCTTAAATAGAAAAAGAAGAAAATGCTTATTAAAGTTGAATGACTCCCTCCAAAGTGACAGAACTGGGAGGCAGAACTGGGGTTTAAATAGAAGTTTTTCTTCTACACATACAACACTTACTGTATGTAAAAACAGCAGAATAAATTGCACTTACTCTAAGGACCAAAATGTATAATAGGTATTTGGAAATGGGAAGAAAATTTTCAAGTAGGGGAACAATAGAGGGGGGTGGGGAAAAGGAAAGAACGGACAAGAAAAAAGAGAATAGAAGGAATAGAAATAAAACTTGTAAATAAGCAGGGGTAGAGGGGTTGAAGGGAGGTGGGGGGGATGGGAAAAAAGCAAGATATATCATGTACAGGTACAAATTCCCTATGATGAATGTTATCGTTATGTACATCTAAAATGTACCGATAAAAAAAATTACACTTACTAATGGAGCCAAATTCCACTTGTAAAATTTGAGACATGGGTTACTATTCTCTCTCTTTTTTTGAGACAGGGTCTTGCTATGTAGCCTCGGCTGGTCTTGAACTCAGCCTTCCGAGTGCTGAGATTACTGGCGTGCACCGCCACGCCTGGCCTGGGTAACTATTCTTATAGTCTAATATCTTTCATGATATTCATAAAAAAAGTCCACTGTGTTTTCATCGTGAGTCTGGAAAACAAAATGTTATCACAGATAACAATGATAAGCTACTCTAGTCCTTGGTTCCAATGATTCAGAATGTATCATTCAGAACAAGAAGCCCTCTCATTCAAATATAAAAATGATTCAAATCTAGAATAAGAGTATTCTACTTAGTCACAAACACAAAGATCTGAAACCTCACTTCTGAGGCATTTCTGCACAGTAAGAATGCAGCTGCACTTGTTAGTATAAGAGTATTAAACTAAGAAGTCCTTTTAGAGGTCACAGTGGTGACAAAATTCCACACGATGGAGGCAGGAAGCCAAGGGAGGTCCTTCCACACTGCTAAGTCCTTGCGATGACTTCATTTTAAGTCAATGTCTCTTCATGCCGTATGTATTCCCCAATGTCTGCTTGATGAAATACCACAATCGCCATAGGGTCTACTTTCCTGCAGTCTTGTGTAGACTTTGCTGCTACCCCAAAACCCTGGGATTCAAAGGAAAAGAGACTGATACCCTCAAGTCATTCAATAAGCCCATGGGGAGCCAGCAAAGATGAAAAACACAGTTTTTGTCTTGGAGAAATTCAAAGGGTGCCGAGAAGTGAGTCTCCGAGGCACACAGGTATAAAATATATGCTTCAATTTAAAAAAGAAGAAGTACTCGGTTTTCCTAACACCGCCATCTCTACTCACCAGAGGGACGTCGGCCATGGAGTACACTACCACTCCCTGGTACTGAGAAGTGTTCTCAGTGATCTGGCCCAGACCGGATTTCAATACGTGGTTTCCATACAGGAAGGACTGCTCTGCTCCAGGCTTTATCCACACTTTGTACTGTAAGAAAGAGAAAGTCCAAGAGGCAAGAAATGCTAAGTTATAACCCTGCAGATAAAGTAGCTGCCGGTTCAGGGGTTAATTTCTCAAAAGAACTTGGGCAGAGAGCAGAAAGGAGACAACGAGAGATCGGTAGGCATGTTACCCTCAAACAATCCGTGCCCTGCACAGCACCGCCATGAAGTTTCCCCAACTTTACAGTCCTCCATGGACGGTCTGAGTCTGGACCGCAGAATCCTCCCTCCTTGCTGCCACTCATGTGCCTTTTCTTTCTTTTTTTGTCTCGCTATGCAGTTCAGGCTGGCCTTGAGCTCACTTTGTAGCCCAGGCTGGTCTCGAACTCGCAGCGACCCTCCTGCCTCAGCCTCCAGAGTGCTGGGATTACAGGCGTGCGCCACCACGGCCGGCTTGTCGCCTGCTCTCTGATCGGCAGCGGCAAGCACTCCAATCCCACCGCGGGCCGCGAGCCCCGGAAACTCGCCCTGCGGACCCTGCCCTCACCCTGGCTTCCGCCCCACGAACCTTGGCATAGGGCGCCAAGTAATCCAGGGCCGTCACGTGCAGCCGGAACTTGTGCGTCTTGGTGAATTTCCCGAAGCAGGTCCCCAGGGACACCAGCTTGTCCCCGGAGATGCTGGCGGCCAGCTTCAGCGTCTTCTCACTGGAGGGACGACGGGGAGCAGGGCTGCAGCCGCGGGGCGATGCCAGCACCCAGGCCTCCCCCCACTCCCGGCCCGCGCGCCGGCGCACCTCACGTAGTACACCCGGTCGCTGTGCAGCCTGAAACAGTAGGTGCCGTCGGGCCGCTCAACCAGCAGCTGAAGGTTCTCCCCGATGCTGAAGGCAAAAAGGGGGCTGGAGGCCGCGCCCGAGCCGACACGACTCGGCCCCGCGCCCGCATCCCACCCAACCCCCACCACACACACTCCCTCGTCCTCCCGGCGCTCCTACTATTTTGCGATTTTCTCAAACATCACACGGGTCTCCTCTTCGGTTAAAGGCCGCATTTTCCCGGCGGGTCCCGAACTCCGGATCCTCGTGTCTCGGTGGCCGGAAGCGGAAGTTGGCCGCCGGCTACTCCCTGGAAACCCCAAAGCCTGCCTCTCTAGCGCCAATGTACTCGTTGCTCACGCTAGCGACCTCTGCCGTGGAGGACTGCCGGAGGCCGAAAGCCAGCCAGATGAAAAACCATAGAGACGGGAAATGTGCCCCAGCTGCTTCCGGCCGTAGATGCGGGACAGCGCCCTCTGAAGGGGACTTGACACTGTTGCCAGGAAGATGGCGGCGGCAGATACTTTCCCATCCTCAACTCCGGCATCGGCCGTGGCGGCGGCCACGTCAGCGGCTCTCGGGGAGGTGGAAGATGAAGGGCTCTTGGCATCTCTGTTCCGGGATCGCTTCCCTGAGGCCCAGTGGCGGGAGCGGCCCGACGTGGGCCGATATCTCCGAGAACTAAGCGGCTCGGGGCTGGAGCGGCTGCGGCGCGAGCCCGAGCGCCTGGCGGAGGAGCGAGCGCAGCTGCTGCAGCAGACGCGCGACTTGGCCTTCGCCAACTACAAGACCTTCATTCGCGGCGCCGAGTGCACCGAGCGCATCCACCGCCTCTTCGGAGACGTGGAAGCGTCGCTTGGTCGCCTGCTCGACCGCTTGCCCAGCTTCCAGCAGAGCTGCAGGTGCGGCCAGCGCCAGAGGGGTCTGATGTGTTGATAGCCCACAAGTAGCGGGGTAGAAATAGCGAAGCCGTAGCGCATACCGGGTGCGGGGCTCGCAACAGCCTTCGAGGTAGATACTGCCATGCCCGTGTTACAGAGAAAGTGGCCACATATAGAGGTTAGTGATTTGCCCAGGAAGCCAGCCAGTGAGTTTCCAAGACAGAATTGGAACCTGGGAACGCGTCCCTGCCCCTAGGGCTGTTGTGAGTACTAAATAAAAGGAATCTGCACAACACACTGGGTTTGACATAGCTCACGCTATTTGTGCACATTTATGTAAGTGTATCAGACTAGGGATTATCTGATCCAGAATTTCCATTGATAGGAGGCTGATAGGAAAATTCTCTCGTTGTGGGACAGCAAAAATCAGAAAGACCTTCCGTAGATTCTCAGTACAGTTTTTTTATTCCTACCATCCAGCGTTTCATGATTCAAGTTTAATTTTTTGTTCGAGCCTTTAATATTTGACCACTGATTTTTGTATTTTCCATGACCCAAAAGATTTCATAAAGCAGGTCTTTATTGTAGAGAAGAAATGGTAGGCCAGGCTTGGTGGCGCATGCCTGTAATCCCAGCACTCAGGAGGCTGAGGCAGGAGCATCACTGTGAGTTCGAGACCAGCCTGGGCTATAAAGTGAGGTCAAGGCAAGCTTGAACTGCACAGCGAGACCCTGTCTCAAAAAAGACAAAAAAAAAGAAAGAAAAAGAAAATGACAATAGCTTTTGTTTCAGACTGCTACACAGGTTTCCCTGGGTAGTCTGTGGCTGGGGATATAGCTCAGTGGCACAGTGCCTGCCTAGCAAGCAGGAGGTCCTGAGTTCGATTCCTGGTTCCAAAAAAAAAAAAATAGACATACCCTGTGTAGTTTGTGCTTGAGACAGGGTATCACTATGTAGTATAGGCTGGCCTTGCACTGGCTTATGTAGCCCAGGTTGGCCTTGAACACACAGCAGTCCTGCCTCAGCCTCCCGAGTGCTGGAATTACACGCGTGCACCACCCTGCCTGGCTGTGGTATAATCTTGAACAAGCTGCTTAACCTTTCTGGCATCACAGCTTTCCTCTTGATATAGTGGCACATCCATATAATGCCAGCCACTTGGGAGGCTGAGGCAGGAAAATCACAAGTTTGAGCCCAGCCTGGACAACTTAGTGACTTAATGGGGACATTTCTCAAAAGGGTGGGTGGGAGCTGGGCATGTAACTCAGTGCAGAGGCCCTGGGTTCAATGCCTCGTACAGCCAGAAAAGAAAAAGTTTCCTCAAGCGTACTAGCGCTAATAATGATGTGAGGGTTATATGGGGGAAACCTTCGGCCCAGTGCTCCAAGATGGGTGAGGTTTGGGTGCAAATCAGTAAGGTCCCGGTGTTTTCCTGATTGCCTGTAGGAACTTTGTGAAGGAAGCCGAGGAGATCAGTTCCAACCGCCGGATGAACACCCTGACTCTAAACCGGCACACAGAAATCCTGGAGATTCTGGAGATTCCTCAACTCATGGACACGTGTGTCCGGAACAGCTATTATGAAGAGGCCCTGGAGCTTGCAGCCTATGTTCGCAGACTGGAAAGGAAATACTCCACCATCCCTGTCATCCAGGTAGCCATGTTTGTGTTCTTGGATCATTCATTCGGTCGTGGTGCCTGAACCCTTGGGGAGAAACCTTTGCATGTTTCCCAGCGGCTTCTGCCAGTCAGGCAGGCCTGAATAGGAAACGTGAGTTCATTCACGTAGCTGCGTAGTCAAAGGTGTGTATTAGTCCTATGCCAGGCGCTGGTGCTGGGGATGCGGCGTGACAGGGCAGGCAGGTGTGGCTCTCATGAAGCTTTCCTTTTAGTGTAGGTCTGATAGTTGACAAATAAATACGATCATTTCAGAGACTGGTAAGTGTCTGAAGAAAATAAACCAGGGAATGGGGCGGAGAAAAACCAAGATGGGCTCCTTGGTGGTGTGGTCAAGGGAAGCCATTCTAGAGCGGCAACAAGCTGAGACCTACTGATGAGAAGGCACCCTCACTTGCCGATCTGGGGAAAGCAGACCCGACAGTGGGGAGAACAAGTGCAGGGAGGAGTCAGGAGAAGGTCGGGTGTGTTTGCCGAGCGTGGTCGTGCATACGTGTGATCCCAGCACTCGAGAAGCTGAGGCAGGAGGATCTCTGTGAGTTTGAGGCCAGCCCGGGCTACGTACTGAGACCCTGTTTCAAAACCAAAAAAGCAGTTGGGATGTTTAAAGGTCCAAAGTCAGCCAAGGTTCCTGGACTGCACCGAGCCATGCAGAACGTTCGAAGCAGGTGGCACTCGAGAGCCAGGCAAGGCTGGAGGCTGGAGTGAGCAGCTGGAACTTTACTGATTGTAGGGAGAATCCTTGGAGGGCTGTGAGCATGGTAGGCAAGAGCACTCCACGACCAGATCCATTTACTAGGTGAGGAAGCCATGGGGATGTTCGCCCAGGCTCAGGGTTAGCGACTCACTCCCGTCTCCTCAGGGCATCGTGAACGAAGTGCGCCAGTCCATGCAGCTGATGCTGAGCCAGCTGATCCAGCAACTGAGGACCAACATCCAGCTCCCCGCCTGCCTCCGCGTCATCGGCTACCTGCGGCGCATGGACGTCTTCACGGAGGCCGAGCTGAGGGTGAAGTTCCTTCAGGCCCGCGACGCCTGGCTCCGCTCCATCCTGACTGCCATCCCCAGCGATGATCCCTACTTCCACGTCACAAAAACCATCGAGGCCTGCCGTGTGCACCTGTTCGATATCATCACGCAGTACCGCGCCATCTTCTCCGACGAGGACCCTCTGCTGCCCCCTGCCACGGGTGGGCCCCCCGTGAACGAGAGCGCCATCTTCCACGGCTGGGTGCTGCAGAAAGTCTCCCAGTTCCTGCAGGTGCTGGAGGCCGACCTCTTCCGGGGGGTGGGCGGCCGCCTGGACTCTCTGCTGGGCCAGTGCATGTACTTTGGGCTGTCCTTCAGCCGCGTCGGGGCTGATTTCCGGGGACAGTTAGCTCCCGTTTTCCAGCGGGTGGCCATCGCCACTTTTCAGAAAGCAATGCAGGAGGCAGTGGAGAAGTTCCAGGATGAAATGAACTCCTACACCCTCATCTCGGCCCCAGCCATCCTGGGCAGCAGTACCGTGCCTGCTGCCGCACCAGCCACTCCGCCAGGCACGCTGCAGCCGCCGATGGTGCTCTTAGACTTCCCGCCCCTTGCCTGCTTCCTCAACAGCATTCTGGTCGCCTTCAACGAGCTGCGTCTCTGCTGCCCTGTGGCGCTGGCACAGAATGTGACGAGGACCTTGGAGGACGCCCTTGCCCAGGCAAGCGCATTCACTGGCTTTCTACTCCCCTGGCCGCCCTCAGTGAACAGTGGGCAGGCTTTTCTCTGAAACCAGTCCTTAGGCAGTGGTGCCTGGGGATGCAGCGCTGACCTGTGGTGTGGTTTCAGTTTTCCTGCTGGGAAGTTCTGATTAGTCCCCCTTCTGGGACCTCAATGAGTCTGTTTAGTAGTTCACCTGTCGTGGTGATTCAGCAGTGTTCATTTTCTGTTGCTTTAAAACAAATCCCCACAAATGCAGCAGCTTAGAGCCGTGCATTATTGCTAGGGGCAGCATGCCTGCTCCTCTGCTCAGGTCTCACGAGGGTGCAGTCAAGGTGCTGGTGGGTCGTGTCGTCTGGAGCTTGGGTCCCTTTCAGGCTCCTGGCTGGTAAGTGTCATCCCTTGCAGCTGTAGCGGTTGCAGGACTGAGGGCCTCTGCTCCCAGAAGCATCTCCTCCACAGGCAGCTGCGGCATGGCATCTTGCTGTGGGAGAGCATCTCCCCTGCCTGAGTCTCTTCTATGTACCCTTTTTTTTATGTCTTTTTGAGACAGGGTCTCGCTATGCAGTTTATGCTGGCCCTGAGCTCACTTTGTAGCCCAGGCTGGTCTCAAACTTGAAACTATCCTCCTGCCTCAGCCTCCTGAGTGCTAGTATGTACCCTTTTCTGAAGGCTCATTTGAGTCACACCCACCCAGGATATGCTTCCTCTTGATTAATTCAGAGTCAGCTGCTTCATTTTCTGTATCTATCACAGACCTGGACCATTCCCATCAGGCACTAAAACCCCGGTGTTCTGCGAATGATTTCATGCTTCTCCACTAGCATGGAACACTGTTAGCAGTGAGGCAAGTTGGGTCAGAAATACATCATGGTGGGGCCGGGAATATAGCTCAGCGGCACAGTGCCTGCCTGGTAAGCGCAAAGTTTTGAGATCGATTCCCAGTACCAAAAAGAAAGAAAACGAAATACATCATGGTGGAGCCAGACGTGGTGGCGCACACACTTGGGAGGCTGAGGCAGGAGGATCGCTGTAAGTTTGAGGCCAGCCTGGGCTACAAAGTGAGTTCAAGCCAACCTGAACTGCACAGTTAAACTTTGTCTCAAAAAGCTCCCCCCCCAAAAAAAAAAAAATCATGGAAGTGACAGAATTGTGAAGACTGAACAAATGCTGGGTTTAAGCAACGTAGTGAGGTACGGTTAGGAATAACAGACTTCATGAAAACCTGAGGGCTGCCCCATCGTGCTCATTTCATGCACTGCTCAGCAACTGAGCTATTCCCTGCAGACCTGGGGGTGGAACCCAGCGCCGGCGCATCCTGGGTAAGCCCTCCACCACTGAGCTACAGCCCGAGCCCTCCATGGTGTTCTTGTCTCTTAGGTAACCAAAATAATCCTGGCTTTCCACCGGGCGGAAGAGGCTGCCTTCAGTAGCGGGGAGCAAGAGCTCTTTCTCCAGTTCTGCACTGTCTTCCTGGAAGACCTTGTTCCTTATTTAAATCGCTGTCTTCAAGTCCTTTTCCCACCAGCTCAGATAGCACAGACTTTAGGTAAGAGAATTTTTTAAAGCTGCTTCACTTGTATGTAATTCTCCTAAGGAAATAACTCATCCATTTGCACAGTTTTCGGTAAATGTGGAGGTATGCAACCATGACCGCCACCCAACCTGATACTACTTTCCACACTGCGGTAACGGGGATGGAACCCCTGCCTCGGGCTCTCAGTGTTGGGGTTCCTTACAGGCGTGCACCACCACATCCTGTGTAATTGTTTGTTCCTCTTCAGTGTGTGAGAGAGAAACATCCGTATTGACTTCTATTAATAACATTTTTCCGTTTCTGTCCCTGCCGTCTGTCAGGCATTCCACCCACTCAGCTCTCCAGGTACGGAAACCTTGGGCGTGTGAACGTCGACGTCGTCCAGGAGCCTCTTGCCTTCATCCTGCCTAAGAGAGAGATGGCCTTCTCCCTAGATGAGCGGGAGGCGGTGCCCGAGCTCACAGCCCCCGCACCCAGGCTGCCTGCGGCGGAGCCCCGCCTGGAGCCCCCAGCTGCGGCCTGCCCTGAGGTTGGGCGGGCGGAGGCCGAGCTCCCGGAGCCGGCAGCGGGGCAGCTGGGGGACGGGGAGCCGCCGGCCGCGCCGCCCGGTGTACAGCCTTAGCTAGCGCTGGGCATGCGCGCTGCGGCGCCTCAGCCCGCGCCAGCCGGGGAGCGGCTCCTAAAGCGGGGTGGCCTCGCCCACGACAGGCTCGAGGGGACTCTGGGAGCACGCTGTCGGGGGCCGGTCCCGTGGGTGATCCGGGCTGCTCCTGTACCCGGCTGAACTGTAATAAAGCTGACCGATGGCCCCAGCCGGAGCGCGACACTGTCCCCCGGAAGGCGAGTGGGAGCGCGTTCCCGGCGGCGGGAGGAGGGGCGGGGCGCCGGCTG